TGAGCCACAGATATCCCCAAGGGAGATTGTTATTGCATGGGAAAAGTTGAAGGAATTTGGTATTTTGAAGACGTGGGATGACGCGGATTGGGTATAAAGATAGATGTACTAACCATTGGGGATGGAGAGGAGGAATGATTCTGGTACAGATAATTGTACGCAGGAGGAAAGATATACAAGGAATTCGTTCATAAATTTCATTGGGACTTTGTCAATCCCTGACAGACTAGGTCAGGTCTTGTTTTCCACAAAAGGTACCAAATGAGCTACTGAATTAACCAGGGGCTTCGTGAAATCAAACATCTGATTGGCCCGTCCGTTTGAATGGTGATCACGCCATCCTTTTTCTGCTCTCTCCGTCTTCTCCCTTAATCTCTTCTAGTTGTCAACGATGTAGCTTAAAAGGCACTATCCATGTTATCTTACAACCTCATACCTATTTCAACTACCGTACGTTCGTGAGAAGATCAAGGTGCCTCTGATGGGCTACACCATTGTGATACAAGTCGGGGAATCCGCATACGCACTGTACAGTGATATTTTGGTTACACGATTTTGTTCTAAAATGTGAGAGTTCGTCGGTCCTTGTACGCACAATGACCGTGTCCATTGTTCTCTCACTTACTCTTTTATTGTCCGGCTTGAAATCCCTTGACGAAGCATTCCTGGAATCTCGAGATGATTTGGATCTTCGACGCGATTCTGTGACGGCTACCTATGACTTATTTCTAATACTCGTGGTGGCTAGCTCAACCCTGGTTACCCGCCTTTTCCTCGCTGATGGTGGCGCCGAACTAGCTCTCACTGATAGATCTTGCCACTCTGTTCACCAATAGATATATCGCTCTGTAGCAATATCTACCCAATTTTACATCCCCTGCTCACCTATGGGCCAGCGTCCCCTGTCTTCTCTCATCGCTTCCCTATTTCCCTGTAAAGAGGATACTGCCGATGAGAGAATGTAGAGCATCATCGCTTAGACCTCAGTCTCTTACCTCATCCCAAGAAGACAGACTGAAGCAACGCCTTCAACGTAGTTCCTCCATTCACCAATGGAATATGAAGGCGTTGTGAATGCTTGATCGGATCTCATGTGTTATTCCTGCGCGCGAAGCGCGTACATATTCTGTACTACAATTCCTTTTTTATCTCTTCCTTTCCAGAACATGTCTGCGAACAAAGTGTACACTTCGCCCCAATACATTACTGCTTTAATCTTCTAGTACTCGTATAGTATTTTTGAGAGGTCAGGACCTGCCCGAAGGGCCATTGAATTATCACACGAAATAGGAAGGCAACTCCATTTCGACCAGAGATTATTTGTACGGACGTGTAACTGTGAAGAAATGGGATAGAGTGGAGAAGATGCAAAGCGATATGTATATTGGAGCCTTTGTCAGGACATAGGTTTGCTCCAAAGGTGCCGTTGTAGCGACAAGGCGTTGTGGCCGAGAGGAAGCGGTGTGACTAATTTTGACATTCCCAGTGAGCCTTGCAAAGGAAGGTTCAAGGTCAGATAGGAGCATAGGTCAATACATTGAAACGAACCAAGAAAGCGTCTCACAGCGAGACTTGAAGACGATCCGATAGTGCTAGAACCAAAGCAGCTCGAGACGGGTGGTCTACAGGACTGGTAACAAATTGTCCAACCAAAAAAATAAGTATTCAAACCCCAATCCCGTCACATGTTTGAATTCGACCCTGGTATCTTTGACTCCTACACGACTCAAGGTGGTTCGGGAGGTTTACGGTTGCCTACTTAATCAACATCATCTTACCGCCGCACCACACCCGTCTATTCTAACAATATATTAGCCAATCCAAAAGCGACACATTTACTGATTCCAAAATGTATCCATCTCCCCAAGAGCATTGACTTTGAGGAGTCGAAGTGGGTCGGCGCAAACTACAACCAGACGAGTGCCTGACAAAGATGCGAAAAACGTGACGCAAGTGGAGAAGGTGGCTCTATTAGGTTAGATTATTACCGGGAATTCACGCAGCGTTCACGACCAAAGGATGTCCCTGCCACCATCGTTCTAAGGGGTAACAACATATGACCATAGAGTATGTTCATGGAAAACTGCTTTTATTAGATGCTCATAAAGTTTTGTAAATCGTTCTGTTATAAGTTTAGCTTTTGGGGTGCCAAGAGTGGCTGACTGTGCTTATCTCTCGACCGAGAACCAGTTTGCCTTCCAATTCACCTACGTTGTTTAGTTCTACCTTCTGCCACGGACACGGCTCGACAAAGAAATACCCGGATCATGGCTCTTCCTGATCACAAACGCTCAGCAATAAAGCAAATGCCCCCCCAAATACTATAAGTGGCCAGACTCTAATCACCGACGTTTACCCATCCCGTCCTCTCCTCTCGCCACCCCCTACGTTCCTCTGTC